TTTTCTTTATTGATGTTGAACAGAAATAACTTAAAACAGGAATCCTATCGACAGAGGTTTTAAAACGTGCCACTGTTGTTGACGGAAAAGTGGATTTCGCGAGTCAGATGGACAAATCAATGTTAACTAAAATGACTGAAAATAAAAAATGGATATAATTTTTTGCTGATTTTTTGTAACAAAATTATTTCATATATCTACTCTTTACATAGACATGGATTTTTACAATGTAGGACACCTGAAATTATTTGTAAAGCTAGGTAATGGGTCAAAAGTAAATTTCGTGAGACAAAAATGGCGGCCATTTTGAAAATAGGCGAGCTTTTGAACCAGGAGTCATAGGGGAGTTTTCTGTATTGATGTTGAACAGAAATAACTTAAAACAGGAATCCTATCGACAGAGGTTTTAAAACGTGCCACTATTGTTGACGGACGGACGGACAGACAGACGGATGGACAGACAGACGGACAAGTGAGTGATTGCAAAAGCTCACCATGTGAGCTAAAAAAAAGTGACTGACTCTATTGTACTGTTGACTTACTCATTAAATACTGCTGACTGATACTGGTTAACTGGATAAATTATTGACCTCCTGGTTTAATCAGCATCAAAACTCTAGAAAATCATCTCTAGTTACGCCAGAGGCTAGTCTGGCTAGCCAAGGTAAAAATAAGCACCTATGTTTAACCAGTGGTTACCATTTATAAGACCATGGTCTTATATAAGAAGGTATGTGGTCGCCGGGTTGGCCTAGTGGTTAAGGCATTGGTCTGAAAAGCAGGAAGTCTGGCTTCAAGCTGAAAAGTAGAGGTCTTGGGTTCAAACCCAGGTCACAGCACTTCTTGTGATTTGTCTTTGACCTATGACTGCTGACCTATACCGGCGATTACAAGAGTGCTGCTTACTCGATAAAAGGTTGAGTTCCTCAACTCGACAATGGGAAGAACTGCTCTACCTAAGTGACTAATATGTCATGATATGACATCTAAAGGGTCGATAAAAGATATATATTATATATATATATATATATATACCATTGAATGACTCTTGAAGAAGGATGTTTAAAGGATGTAAATCTATAATAATGTTGAACAGATTTGTGATTAATATTCACATCAAAGGCAAAGTGTCATATCTTATTTCTATGACATCAACTCATATACATATTGTCTAGTACTGCAAATAACTAGAAATGAACAGTAATTATTCATTCCCGGATGTGCTCTGGTACCATTAAACTCTAAAGTGGGACCAAATTGCAAAATAACCTATAAAACACAGACTATATAGTAGATAAAATATATCAAACAATAAAATCTATAGTACCATATATCCTTTCCAATAGTTTTATGCACTAGGCTCTGAAACTAAGAGTTAAGTAAGGGTAGAAGAGAGAATCTCGGTAAAAGTAAATAAAAAACAAAAAATCTGTTGACACTACAAACACTATAAACTGAACAGAAATACAAGAACAGCTAATGATTAATTCAGGTCTTTATAAGAAATAATATGGAATAGACCTGACAATGGTTGCAGAAAAAGAACTGAGATCTCAAATACAGAAAAATATCTGTAAAAGAGACGCTCATCAACCTCTGTTTACTTCCCAGAACCTGATTATACCATGCAGATAGCACTGTTCCAGGTGCATTTTTGGTATACAGTATACTGAATGTACTTCTTGAATCCCAGATCAGTAGTAAAAAGTGAAAAATATGGGATCTAATGCAATATTTCCTACTTAACTGATATATGACCCCAACTAAATTCATGGGGGCAAATCCCATTTCATTTGATTACCATCATTGGTGTTAAGGACATTACTTTCATTTTGAAAAGACTATTCTTGAATCCATTCTCTAATTCCTATTCAACAGTCTGAAATACAGTTACAGTCAAACCTGTCTCATCAGAATGCTAACTGGGACTATAGCCAAAAGTGTTCAGATTAGCAGGAGTTCACATTTCAAGGTTACTTAACATGTGAGTCAATGGCATATGGAAAATCAAGACTGAAGAATGGCTTCAAATATTGAGTGAATTTTAGACCTCTGACCTTGACCTCTGAATAATGGGATATCACACTTAAATATATAACACAGTTGAACTGATCAATAGCTGAACCGCTGTACCTGGTGAAATATGACAACCATTTAATCTAATCTCTGGAGTACAGTTGATGGATATCATGACAGGGAGGCATCTTGAGAATAATGTACAGTGTATGTTTTAAAGAACAAGCTGGCATTTTGCTAAATTGGCTAAATCCGTAATATTAATGACAACAGACAATTTGGATGTTTCTACCTACCTATACAATGGCTTCACTGAGTGGTTAGATCGAGAGATTAGATTTCCAACCCTAGAAAATATACTCCACAAGGCAGAACATTTTTTCACTCTACAAACCATTCATTGAGATTTAGAATTTTGTATGATACACATAAAGATAGCATACAAAAGTGCATATCTAAGAGATTGATCTCATAGAAATCTCTTGCATAATCTGTACCTAGCAGGGGTATACACAATCCCACAATGCCACGTGATAAGCAAACTAGGAATTACCACAATTACTATCAAAGACGGAGAGAGGGAGGCGGTTATTGCCAAATGCGCATCCTGAGCATTTCCTGACAACTCCCACAAATTGAACAAATTGGGACAATTAGATAACATAAAACAAACACCAATAGAAACATCAATCATCCCAGAGATATGTTACCATGGCAACAAACATCATTTGGATGAATATTAAAAAAATTAACTCCCTTAAATTCTTGATTTGAATTTGTTTAAAGTTACAAAAAAATCATATTTTGACCATCGTCTTCATGATTTTCCAAACCAAGACAGAATTATTCATTATCTTCTATAAGTACAAAGATGTATACAGAAATGTATACGCATAAGGATGTACACGTATGGAGCTGTTGAAAATGAAATGCAGAAATCCTTATTATGTTCTTATGTATGGCTAATCCACTTAGTTTGTCAGGTGAAAAACAGAAAAATAAAATAATTACATAATATGTGGGAATTCACTTGCCTAATTACAATCCTTGACTCTAATTGACTTTTAACAGAAAATGCAAACTCACAGAGAAAGCAACATTCATCATTCTAACTTAATTCCAAACCAATTCTAATCGTAAGTACGTTAGTTCCTAGAACATAGTCCCATGACAGTTTTTATAGCATCGCTAGCCAAACAAAATTCCCTGTTACGCCTTTATAAAATGAATTGACGTGGAGGAAATGTTCATAAAATGACGGAATAAAGGTCAAATTCTCCATAAAGACTGCATAAATCTAAGAGCTGTTTCATTGGAAGTTTCATGATGCGTTGTGGGAGAGGACATATAGCTTGTCTTATAATAACACAGAGGTTATGATATGACTGTACACCTAATTGATGATACACACTCATCTTTAGGGAAATAAGCTAAATTAGCCTGTGCTCATTTATTGTATTTTTAACAGGTTAAGAGTACTTAGATGTATTATGGGAATCCATAAAACTAAATCATGCATTGAATGATTGTGAGTTGAAAGATCAGAAGTTGACAGATGGCATGGTTATGGTATGGAGCTGATGTATCTATGAAGAGGAATGGTTGTGCTGATGTATCATATGAAGAGGTATGGTTGTGCTGATGTATCATATGAAGAGGTATGGTTGTGCTGATGTATCTATGAAGAGGATGATTGTGCTGATGTATCTATGAAGAGGATGATTGTGCTGATGTATCATATGAAGAGGATGATTGTGCTGATGTATCATATGAAGAGGTATGGTTGTGCTGATGTATTATGGTATGGTTGTGTTGTTTAGTTGAGCTAATCATTTGATGGTTCTGCTGATGCTTGATACCATGCTGTTTGGTTGTCCTGATGTACAGTATATGTATCACATAAAACAGTATGGTTGTTCTGATGTATCATGTGAAACTGTATGGTTGTGCTGATGTATCATATGAAGAGGTATGGTCGTGCTGATGTATAATATGAAGAGGTATGGTTGTGCTGATGTATCATATGAAGAGGTATGGTTGTGCTGATGTATCATATGAAGAGGTATGGTTGTGCTGATGTATCATATGAAGAGGTATGGTTGTGCTGATGTATCATATGAAGAGGTATGGTCGTGCTGATGTATCATATGAAGAGGTATGGTTGTGCTGATGTATCATATGAAGAGGTATGGTTGTGCTGATGTATCATGGTATGGTTGTGTTGTTTCGTTGAGCTGATCATTTGATGGTTCTGCTGATGCTCGATACCATGCTGTTTGGTTGTCTTGATGTATATGTATCATATGAAACTGTATGGTTCTGCTGATGCTTGATACCACGCTGTTTGGTTGTCCTGATGTATATGTATCATATGAAACTGTATGGTAGTGCTGATGTACCATGTGAAACTGTATGGCTCTATATGGTTGTGCTGATGCTTGGAATTATGCTGTTTGGTTGTGCTGATATCTTATATAATCCTGTTTGGTTGTGCTGATGTATCATATGATACTGTGTCATAAAGCTCATGTTTGATATGCTACCCTTTAGTCATACTGTTTGCTATGGTGCTGTTGTTACTCTGATATTATGTTTTATTTGTCAAGGAATTTACTTATGTTGATAGTTACAGTTAAAGTTTGTTTGGTTTCAGTAATTCAAACATAACATGATAGGCCATTTGATACTTTATTATCATAGATCGTTTGCATCTTCACTTCTTATATAAAAGTATCAAATAGCCAAGCCAAAGTGTTATTATAAAACTTGGATTTAAAGTTCACATTAGTTACAAATATATTAAATAAACGCAACATGTTTGGTAAGATTTTATAGCATATGTAACACAAACATTTGGAAAGTATTATACCCGAGTCCAAACGTGTCAACTCAAAATATTGATATCTTTTTCTCTTCCAAACTTAGTATGATGTAAAGATATCTTGAGTGGACTTATACAAAGTGATATATCAATATTCCCTTACCTTGACTTGGTCCCTCCAGTAAAGGATGTATCCTTTAGGGTCCACTTTAAGGGTAACAGGGACCCCAACAGACGAATCCTGAAAATTATTAAATGAGAATTGATGTATTTAATAATGAAAGGGTATAACACAGAAGTACAACTAAAAATAAAGAAACAATACTAAAATGATTTTGAAGGTGTCCTAGTACCTGTCAACATTTCACCCTTGTACTAAGTAAGAATAGAGGGAGCGGGTCTGAAACTAAAACTCCTCCAAGTTTTCTGCAAGTTAATTCTGAGTCAAATCTGCAAGTAAAAAAGGCCAATCCTGGACATGAAAAAGGCCAATTCTGAGTCCTGCAAGTAAAAAGGCCAATCCTGGACATGAAAAGGGCCAATTCCGAGTCCTGCAAGTAAAAAAGGCCAATCCTGGACATGAAAAGGGCCAATTCTGAGTCAATTCTGCAAGTGAAAAAGGCCAATCCTAGACATGAAAAATGCCAATTCTGTGTCAATTCTACAAGCCAAAAAGGCCAATTCTGTGTCCACTCTGTGGAATACCTCAGTTTTCAATGAAAAATGAGATAAATAAAACAAACATGTAACAACAAATCCATCCAGCAAAACGTGCATAATAAAACACCTTTCTAATCTGAATATCTGCTTTTTGGTTCTTTTTTAATCTGTCATCCATGTCCATACTAAAAAAAAGTTGATCGGAGCAATTTTTGCCTGTCCAGGTGGCGTTCTGGTTAAACTGGTTTTACTTTTATCATCTAATACTAGCAGGAAAGCATACTTGAAATATAATATTTTTGGGACTTTTTGGACTTAAATTCATACCAAAAATAAATCTGCTGAAATCATAAAATTAAATAGGTAAGGCTGATGATTCATCATACATTTAGAAAACTTGTCAAGTCCATTGGGAGTATTCTGCAGAAATTAATTAAAATTGCTGCGAATCTGTGGACTTAAGACAAATTCTGTAGATGCATTATGTGAAAAACAAAAGCTGGAATAAGGGACTACCGTATTCTCTCTAATTAGCGCCCAGGGCGTTTAGAAAATTGAAAATACATTATTTAGACCATTCTAATAAGCGCCCATGTATGAAAGAAATCAGAAATCCCGAGGAATTTCATGTATGGCAATTTTTCTTGACAAGAATGCATTTTCTTCAACATATTTTTATAATAATATGACAAGTGCTGTTATTGGAGAGAATACGGTAAAGATCGCTTAGACAATATTGACAGTGGTTGAAGACCCGTCTATGTCTAATTTATTTCCGGCACGCCCAATTTGTCATTATCGCCGATTACCTTCAATATTTCCACTAGAGACTGCTGGATATCGATCTAAAGTTATACATTATTTCTAATTTGATGAGAGATCATCATTATTCGTGCAAAAGTCGTGTAAAAGTCGAGAAACATTAAAAAGAAACCAGAAAGTTCACGACCTTGACATGCGCAGAACATCTGCGCAGTAGCTTTTGAAATTTCTGAATGCCGATACAGAACAATTCCTTCATTCATTATGGATTATTATGATTCCTCGATGTTTCTTGAACTTTGTGAAGCGGGGTGGGCGCTTATTAGAGAGTGGGCGGTAATTACAGAGAATACGGTATTTAAAAGAATTTACATCAAGCTATATTTATCCTATATATCAACATTCTGAAATGCACCCTAAATATTCCCCAACATGCATGAGTTAATTTTGTAGTCATTTACAAATAAAGAAAAAAAATTTAAAAAATTGTTATGAATTCCTTTTTTCCAAGAGACATTTTGAACATTTATATACCGTTTTTATTTCTGACTATTTATCTCGGGGTTATTGGGTGAAGGAAATATGACATCAATCATTACATTATATCTATATAATGTCTATTCCATTCCAGCGTGAATAACATCCACAGGAGATGTCTGTATTGAAACATTTCTTTAATTTTCCAGTTCACAATGACCTTCCTTCTGAACAAGGGGCATTTTGGTCAAAATATCTCAATACTACATAATTTTATATTTCAACCATCAGGACACTGATTTTTAACAAGATGGCATTTCGTTGTCAGATTTTCAACATGGCATGTCACCCAGTTGCTCATGCCCTTATAAGGCTGCATTTCAATATATGAGCATTTTGATATTATCCTAACATGGTGTTTTGCTATACAGGGTGTCCCAAAAAAAAGGAAACCAGCAATAGATTGCTTATTTCTCAAATATGAATAATGATAGGAAAATTTCGCAGCTACCATCTGATAGATTATGATGTCTTCTTTCTTATGATACCAAAGTTGTCTATTTTCCTTCACGGATGACTGAGTTATAAGGGATTTAAGTGACCATGTCAGAAATGAGTTTGTACCACTTTCAGCCAAGTCAATTTCAACATCATAACAAAGTGATAAGTAACAACAAACATCAGGATATCACTCTTTTACTCATTTATTCCAATTAAAATTACACATATCATATTTAACACCCCTTTTCAATTCCAATGTCCATTCAAAGTTGTTTTAACCCCAGTGTCCTTCAACATGGCCCCCATTCCTTTCAATGCTAATGTCTGCCCTTGATCTCATCGCACGTACTGCATCCCTGATGATGTATCTCTGTCCCCTTAGATCCTCCACTGCTGCGACAATCCTGGCCCTTAGATCATCAACGTCACTTGGTGGTGTTGTGAAGACTTTACCCTTGATTGAGACTTGTTCCTTCTCTCTGATACTTCTTGATATTCTTCCTGATTGTCGACTTAGCAGGTACATTTCTATCTGAGAAGCGTACTCTAAACTGATCAGCAACCTGCTGAAGGCTCCCACTTCTGAGCCACTCACTTACTACGAATACTCTTTGATCTTGGGTCAGCTGCATGAACTTGCTATGTTGAATGCTTATTCAGAAATGTGTATTTCGAATAGGACATGGTCTTGCTTAGCCATTTTAATCCCTCATTGTTCAGCCATTCATGACAGAAAAAGTGGCACAAACCAATTTCTGACATGGTCACTTAAATCTCTTAGAACTCAGTCATCCGTGAACAAAAATAAACACCTTTGGTATCATAAGAAAAAGGACATCATAACCTATCGGATGGTAGCTGTGAAATTTTCCTATTATTATTCATATTTGAGAAATAAGCAATCTATTGCTGGTTTCCTTTTTTTGGGACACACTGTAGAGGGGGCTGTTGTTGGTTTTTGACACCCTGTACACATTTTATTCCTTGCTGTTTCTAAATCTATGCTGCAGTATTTTAATACTAACAATGAGTATAGTGATATTGTCACATTGAGGTTTGTGATAGAGGGTGGTGGCAATGAGTATTGAGCTCTTATCCTCATCACATGGAATGACAGTCGATGTAACCCCCCACCACCTCCAGGCCATGTCAACTTTGGAACATCTAACATGAGTGACTTATATTTCGGGGAGGGGGGGTACAAAATATTTTGAAGCAAATGCATGACATAATCGAACCAAATGCTTGACAAAAACGCAATTCGCCTGAAAAGTCCGAACAGAATGCCGTATCAGCATTTTATAAAACACAAATTTTTTAAATATCAACATAATGCGTGATTTGCATGACATTTTATCATACACGCAAAATTGATGTGTGATTTCAATTTTTCCAGCAAATGCGTGACAATCACGCCTAATGCGTGAGGGTTGACTGGGCAGCATCTCCTCCCCATTCCCAGAATCCCCTCATCCCCTGGGAGTCCTATCTATACCTAACTTCCAGGAACCCACTTGTTAATTAACAATATATGAGTGATATCAGCCATAAATTCTGTTAGTGCCAATGCCTTATATTCCCAGATAGATATTTACACTGGAATTATAGGCCTTCAAGGCAATGGTTACGATCAGTCAGACAATAAAATATGGAATAAAACACAATCTAGGTGATATACTGCAGTTCTCTATTCATCAAGGAATGTTTTTTACATTACAAGAGACAATAAAAGTCCAAAACGAGTTAAGCAATTTTTTCACTGGAAATACAGCATTGAGATGTCTCTCTGTTATTGGTATTCTGTTTTTTATGAGAATGTGGACCACTTATTTCAAATAGGTATTACAATTGTTTCAAATAGGTATTCCAATTGTTTCAAATAGGTATTACAATTGTTTCAAATAAGTATTCCAATTGTTTCAAATAGGTATTCCAATTGTTTCAAATAGGTATTCCAATTGTTTCAAATAGGTATTCCAATTGTTTCAAATAAGTATTCCAATTGTTTCAAATAGGTATTCCAATTGTTTCAAATAGGTATTCCGATTGTTTCAAATAAGTATTCCGATTGTTTCAAATAGGTATTCCAATTGTTTCAAATAGGTATTCTAATTGTTTCAAATAGGTATTCCAATTGTTTCAAATAGGTATTCCGATTGTTTCAAATAAGTATTCCAATTGTTTCAAATAAGTATTCCAATTGTTTCAAATAGGTATTCCAATTGTTTCAAATAGGTATTCCAATTGTTTCAAATAAGTATTCCAATTGTTTCAAATAGGTATTCCAATTGTTTCAAATAGGTATTCCGATTGTTTCAAATAAGTATTCCAATTGTTTCAAATAAGTATTACAATTGATTCAAATAGGTATTACAATTGTTTCAAATAAGTATTCCAATTGTTTCAAATAAGTATTCCAATTGTTTCAAATAGGTATTCCAATTGTTTCAAATAGGTATTCCAATTGTTTCAAATAAGTATTCCAATTGTTTCAAATAGGTATTCCAATTGTTTCAAATAGGTATTCCGATTGTTTCAAATAAGTATTCCGATTGTTTCAAATAGGTATTCCAATTGTTTACAAATAGGTATTCCAATTGATTCAGATAGGTATTACAATTGATTCAAATACGTATTCCGATTGTTTCAAATAGGTATTCCAATTGTTTCAAATAGGTATTCCAATTGTTTACAAATAGGTATTCCAATTGATTCAAATAGGTATTCCAATTGTTTCAAATAGGTATTACAATTGTTTCAAATAGGTATTACAATTGTTTCAAATAGGTATTACAATTGTTTCAAATAGGTATTAGGCGAGTGGGAGATCCAGCAAAAAGG